CGTTCAAAATGCTCACAGGTCGTGGCATGAGAGTGCCTTCCAACATCTTCCTGCCAAACACCGACGATTTTAGCCACCAATGTTCCAGAGTGCATACCGCGTCTGAAGGAAGGAATAAGAAAAACTGACATCGCACACAAGCTTTTACGGCTGTCTTATATCAGGCAGAAGAAATACTACGATCGATACAGCTGGACGAACATCTACCGAGAAGGAGACTTAGTGCAAATTTACAAGCCGGTTCCCCCATCTGGAATACACAGCAAGTTCCCATTTTGGGTGGTGAAAGCGCTCTCACCCGCAAACTACCGCATTCGCAACGCATAACTGCGTACCCAGCCAGTAACCTTTCACCACAAGATGCGACCCTACAAAGGGCCACCATCGGTTGAATATGAAGATGAGATTTACGCCCTGATCGAAGACAAGACACCACCGGATGGCAACTTCAAGAGAAGCTCATAAGTGGTAGCACTGGGGACTGTGCTGAAAGGACGAGAAGGCTATGTAATACTTGTGTTTTAATGTGTCTTTGTGAAAGGAGGCGGGCAGACGAGTCGGACCTCGTGACTGAGGCGACAACGTTCTGCAACCCCGAGGGTGGTTCCGTACCCACATCCCCCCAAACGCCGTACTTGCTTCGCCCATTTACTTATCCTAATAAGCATGACGAAGCCAAATCAACTTGAGTGTCCTAAGAGTATGAGGACTGGGGAAGAGGAGATCTATGGGCCTCGGTCCACACTTATATCGCTTTTGCCAGCAACCTTGATTGCACCCGTCTGAATTGAAGCTAATCGTGGCAGAGTGGGATTTTACGGGGATATTTCCTCAAAAAGTGGTTCAGCTTGGAAAATTTTGTATTGCGTTCTACTTAATTGGGCTTTTTAGGTTTGTTTTTCATTGCAAAATGTGGGCTCGGAGCAGGAAATTTCAAGCAACGAAGAGCTATTTCCGTCGGCAAAGGCACACATGAGTAAATCTTCCAACCTCTGCCACTTCACGGGTTCGCGTTCTGTTTCAAACCTCCGCAACAATATAGAAAGGGGTCCAAATGATTACCTTGATGACAAGGTCTGCAATGACAACATAAGGTTAAAAATCAGTGAATCTACTCCATTTACCGATACCAAGTTGTCATTAGCTTCGCAAGCGAATCTATCAGCAGAAAACACCAAAGATGTCCTTCCATTTGCCGAAGCGCAAGATAAAGAGACGAATATGGGCGAAATGCTTTCAACGTCCTCAAACTCAGGCGCTCAAACGTCTCCCAGAAGTGATGACTTTGGTGATTCAGCCTCATCCTATTCTACTGAAGGGACGACAGAAGGGGAGACTGAAAAGGAAAACGAATCACCGCGGAAGCCTCAGCCACAAGTGGACCAATCACAAGCCATCCGAGAGAATGCCAATCATCCAACATTTGTTGCAGAGGATCAAGTATTAAGGACGGAGAGTGGTGGTAATGAGGAAAATCCTTCTACTACTGCACTAAGACGCAGGAAGAGGCCTTTTGAAGAGGTGAAGTAGTAGTATTCTCACGACTACCATCTCTGCAACTGCTATTGCTAGATATCATCAATCGGTTGCCTGAATTCATTATTTGCTTTTCAAAATCTGATATACCAAAAAGATGCTTTTTTTGCAACTTGAAGAGAAATGGTCAACGTCATTGTCTTGCTAGGTGTTTTTAGTTCATGGGTAGGGCTGAACAAACACAAACACAAACAAGCACACAAACACAGTGTTTTCTCAAATACCAAAATTTGACCAATCTTTGACGAATTCATCGGAGTCAGTAAGGGGTAAGGAAGTTGATGAATTCCAACACCCCATTATAAAAATGGAAATGCTATCGCGCTTTTACAAGTGCCAAAATATTAAAACTCATAGACAGATATGCTAATCATTTTGAGAAACGATTGCGCCCCAAAATAGAGGAATACTAGCAATAAAATTGGTCATTCCCAAGGAGAAGGAAAAAAATGAGGAAGTCGTGGTGAACAGTGCACATGGCTAGAGCTTTAAAAAGCAGGAAAAGGCTTGCTAGTCGTCACGAGTCACTAATGAATATGACCGGCCAGCAGTTTGCAGCGGGCAAAGCGGACAATTTTGCAAGGGCCAACTTTTGGCCAATGGCAGAAGAGTCTGTCAACCAATCAAAAAAAGGCGTCTGTGAACCAAGAGGCCTTTCTTTTGTAAAAACCAAGAAATTAAAGCATTTCAATTGCTTCTCCCAAGGGAAGGTGTTTGCCATACATAGTGAGTAGGCACCAAAGAAAAACGCCTATTTCTTGGTAGTATTCTAATTAAAACCTTAGCTGATCAACCATTAGTGAGGATGTTTACCAATTAAAAGAAATCAACAGAGTAATCAAACTGCCAAATAATAAAAAGAAAATTTTTAGCAAAAACCACAATTCATTGCGTTGAAACTGAGTAGCAAACGTCGGGAAACATGTAAAATTCGCACTCGATTTTCCTTAAGACTGAGAAGTCATGCCGACGATATTGTTGAATGCTCGAACGACCATTAGGATGAAAATTACAATTGTAGATCCAGCGCCCCCGCGACTCCCCTGAAGTCGAAAGAAGACATAGGTCTCGGGCATGGTCAAAAGCCGACCCACTCGACGAAGGTACAATCGCCAAGACAAAGTGGACCTTTACTCAAATCGAAGAATTAAACAAACGGTCAACGCATTAGAGTGGGAATTTAAAAGTCAACAGACAAATAGGACTTTCCTGGTGTTGATTTGCAGAGACTTTAAGGCGAATCGATTGTGGTCATTATTCGGAAAACTACCAGCTGTATTTGAAGTTTTAAAGGAATGGACACAGTGATATCAAATTTGATACTGGCGTACTAGTTGCAAGAAAACTGGGCGCCCGGACACAAAAGATCGATTTACATAGCCTGACAAAGACCGCAATTTTGGGGACCTATTGCTCACACCTAATTGGTCCAACACTTTGTCGCGTTAAAATGCACCTAGATTAGTAGAACAAAATTCGACCAATTAATAGCGACCCTCTTAGTCATTCGGAAAGTACCATCTCAAGAATCGAGTTTTTGAATCCAGATAGACGCTAATTAATTCAAAAAACGCTAGCTAAACCAGCATAGAAATCACGGGTGGTACTGCAGACGTGTCTCGTAACCATGGGGGAGCGACCACAATAACGAAATAACTCCGGTCAATCAATTAGGCACCCTGTCCTTGAAATACCAGTAGTTCTTGGTGTAACAATACCTTCCCGAAAAATAAACGTTAGTCTCAAATTAAGTCAATTTCAGACATCCCGCATACTTAAAATTGCGTTCTTTCAGTGAGAGAGAATGGGAGCGTGCAGATCCCAGTCCGTATCGTTGACGATGGCCGCACAAATATCAAGGCCTGAGCAACCAGACAGTAATATAAAATGACGACCAATCGCATTGGCCGTTGCCCCTCCCCCCCAAAAAATCATCCATTTAGCCGACCTCGACAGAAATAACGAATAAAAGAGAACACACAAAGTACCCGAGAAGAATTTCGAGTGATATCTTAAAAAAATAAAGCAATATCGGGACTTCAAACACTTAGAAAACGTCAACGGGACAATTGTACTTTATCTTGAAAAACAGTAAATCGTTGTATAAAAAGTATTATTAAGGTGTATGGCAGCTATATATAGAAAATCTACTACACGTCGGTCATTAGAAAAAGGAGGGAAAAGGAGGCTATAGATACAAGCTCGAATAGCAAGTCCTTCAGTCTACTCCGTTACCGAGGAGGCTGGAGGTTCTTCTACCAAGTTCACCGACGGTGGTCGTCGTCTAGGACCGCCACGAAATCCACCTCCACCACGCCTAGCTGCACCGCCGATACCACCTCCACCACGTCCACAACTACCACTGCTGCCGCCGCCGGTTCCAGGACCTCCAGAGGGTGTATTTGCGGAAGAAGACGACGCCGCCATCACTGCCGCAGCACGCTGATCCACTGCTTTCAGCATCTGCTTGGCGGATCTCCAGGCCTCAATGATCTGCATGAGACGCTGTTGCATAACCTAGAGAATATTGAAAGTAAGGAAATTCATCCTTCAATGCGGAATAAATAAGTCCGGGTCAAAGGGGACTTTAATGCTACAGATACCTACGAAAAGAAATGCTACAGCAGTGGCGCCGTACGCAGTAGCATGAGTGAAAAGTGTGATATGTCACCCTCAGAATCCGCGTGGATGCCACAGACTTAGGAGTCCAGACACCGCCAATCAGGATGATACTACTCGAGTGTGTGCACGCAACAGATGCGATGATCAACGAATGCCTAAAATCGACGGATAGTTATCACCAGAAGACACTTTAAACACTGTACGCGGACGGACCGCTCACCATTTAGCCATTTGAACAGCGTAAAAGCTTCACATGTCCAACAGTAATGACTCCAGCTGTGGTGGTTCTTAGTGCACAGAAAAACTGGCATTCCTGTGAACATTCGAGCAGTGCATGTACTACCCGCTCCTGAACAGATAATGCATATGTAATTTGTTGTAAGCTTGAACAAGATAAAAGTGATTTCGTTCTAGGCATGGAGACACCTCTACACTTGATCAATACAGGAGAGTTGAAGATTGCTGCACTGAGTTAAAGTAGCATTTCGACAAGGAGAGTGAAGATTTACATATGCTGCAAAGTGAAAACCCAAATTTCACTCAAGAATTGACACGAATACCACAATGTTAAAAGCAGACAAATTAACCACAAACATTGATGGGCTGGAGTAAGCTATCTTATAATGCTGTATACGCAAGGAAAAATCACTGGAGAAATTTGCAAGGCATCAGCTAAATGGTGGAGTAGTTTTGTGAATACAGCGAAGGACTACATGTCGAAAAAGAAAGGCGACTACCGGCTACTTTGACCTAAACAATGCTTGTAAATCAGCCTTTATCCTAGAGGGATATCTCGACTTACCAGACACCTGGTGCCCGAGGGCAGGATATCCAGATTAGGAATAGGGTAATAAGGACCTCCAAATCGACGGACCGTCGGTGTGGGAGGTGCTGGAGTATTTACCCCAGATGCCGTCGCTCCCGTAATAGTCAAGCCTTCTGAAACTGGCGAGCTTTGAGAGAGTGAAGAGCACCTTACGGCTGTTGTCGTGGTCATGTTAGCTGCTCCACGACGTCCACGTATACCCTAGAGGGAAAAATAGGTAAGCCTAACAGACAACTAATTCAAGATTATCGAAAAAACCCACCCTTCTGCCAGTCCGGAAACCCGAAGAGGCTGAAGATACCACTGATTCAGCATCATCATTCGGCACAGGAGCATTCATCGTTGAAGATGAATTTTTTTCCGTCTTCGACCACCACAACCTCGACCAGGGGCACCACGTGGAGATCTACCACGTCCACCAGAGGGTCGTGGAGGTGGCAGAGGTGATTTTGACATCTCCATATCCTCTCCTTCTTCCTCTTCCTCTTCTGCTTCTCCCTCCTCTTCTTCCAATGCAGATACTTCGGCACTGCTAGATCGAGCGGGGGTTGAACTACTAGATCCAGAAGCATCAAAAGCAGAGGAAGTGGAGGGTATTTGGGTGGGCCTTGAAACCACAGTTCTATATTCCGGGAGCAGCATGTCGGAAGGAGGGGAAAGTCTCATAGGTTCTGTAGAATCTGAGATGACAGAGCCGATAGGCGAGGGAGGACGAGTTGAAAGCCTACACGCTGAAGGCTCTGGTAGTGGTGGAGACGATGCAGAAGCCTTTGGAGTTGGAGGCGAGGATATTGCTGCCTTTTCGTCCCTCTTTAATACTGGGTTTTTGAAACAACACAACGCAAAGTAGTTAGAAGACTGCACAAAGAGAAACAAAAATACTCAAGCTATCAATCAAACTCCCCAACATTTTGTTGACGTCGCGAGTTGTTTCATTATGGCAATGATGAATAAATAGAGTACCGACATAAGAGATTCAATGGCTAGAAGTCACCCTGAAAACCGACAGTTTCAAGGAGTAACACCAACCCATGGATAATACATTTTTCCTGATTTTAAAAGCCATTCTACTTCTAAAACAATGGTTCCATAGAGCATAATGATGATTCGCCTAGAAGACAACAACTAACGGATGAAATATTTAGGTCTATGACTTGTAGAGAAATGATTGACTCTAAAAACAGCTTCAAAGAAGATTTTACCGACCATTCTTCTCGCTCGCATTCGCAGTCTTCTTGCCCACACTTGTGGACGATTTCTTCTCTTTCTCCAGCTTCTTCATGGAAGCAGCTGCCACTTCCTTGCCCCTTTCTTTCAGTTCTGTCACTTCCGCATTCTCCTCTTCCTTCTTCACCGCTGCTGGTGGATTTGCAGTGGCCGTGAGGAGTTGAGCCCCAGGAGGAGTGTCACCGAGGATGAGGCGATGCTGGCTGCGAGTGAGCCGAGGTAACACATCGCTTGCAGCCACGAGATTGACCTTATCTCCATCGTCTCCGTCTTCAGAAGATGAGGAAGCGACGGCTGCGGCAACAGCAGGGGATTTAAACGCGGAAGAGGCGTTATCGATAGCCTCAGAAGAACGAGGTGAGGTCGAAGGGGAGGAGAGAGGCGTTAAGGAGGCTTTGACAGGATAGAGGATCTTCGCCACCTTCTCCTCCTCTTTCACTTCTTGCTGTTCCTCTTCCTGTTCTTCCACACCTTCGCCTTCCTCGGGTTTCAGCTTTGTGAGCTTTTTGATGGCTGTAGGACGACGGAAGACCTGAAGAGAAAGAACACGAGTTGTATTAATGTCGCCAGTCATGCTTGATGCCTCGACAACTAAAAATATTTACTTTTGGAGTGATCCAGCGCGAGAGCAGTCATGAAAGGAGAATGGTTACAGATTGTTTACATTCAATTTAAGGGGAGGTCTCAACCATTAGATCGATCTATCGCAAATCGGAGGCTAAAATGCACTACATGTTCGGGAAAATTCCCATCTTTGCCTTCACTGGAAATGAGGGCCAAAAAGGAGCAGTAGTAGAAAATTACACTTAAAAGCTTCAAAAAGTTCTAATCAGTAATCAAAAACCTACAGAACTTCCGACTTTGATCGCAGATCCCTTCCCAGGTGATGGTGGTGATGCCAGCGCTGTAGCCTTAGCCGATTTCGGTGACGAGACTGAACCAGTCTTCACAACTTTTGACGCAGTCGGCTCCTGCTTAATTCGCTTCGCCGGTGGGGACAAAGACGGTGGCGGAAGCGATGTCGGTGACAATGACTGTTGAGATTCCGGGATGTTGGATTGCTGTGGTGGAAAACCATCTTCATCGGAGCTTATATCCTCCAGACCCAGCTTAGAGGAAGAGGACTTCGTTGGCGGTGTTATCACCTTCGTTGTTATTGCTGTCGATAGAGATGGTGGCGATTTCAACTCCACGGGCTCCCCTGAATGTGCAAAACATTTGTTTGAGGATAGACAATAAGAAACAAATGTATCTTCACCACATCGCCTCTATTAAACGTCATTTTGACAGTCAGTAACTCGATATCTCAAAAACCAGCTTATAAATTACGATTTTGGAAATACAAAATGCATCAGCTATCAGGCTGCTTAAATATAAAATGCCCATTTCACCTCAATATTATCGCACTTTTTTACTAATGCAGCTCATCGACTTGGCAGACATGTTCATATCTCATATCTTCTTCCTCCTCAAATGTTGGGACATGATATTAAAAAAACATACTTCAGAGGCAGGCGACCAGGACAGTTTAGACAGACTTGAGCGGATCACACTATGTGATCGTTTGGCAATGCATAAAGAATATCACTCATAACTAAATACACATACGGAGGACAAAGTTAAAGCAAAGTGGCCCCTGAACGTTTTACAGGAGCTGACTTACTTGATCCCTCTTTTAAACACTAAGCTCATGCTTTAAACAAATGCAACTACTTTCAAGAATAAGACAAAAAACGTTCGGAACATCAAAGAGTAAGGCGTATTTTGCTGATATCGTGGAATAGCCAGCAATTTGAACTGAAAGCGGATGCACTCGTTCAACAATGGTAGTGAAATCAAGTGAAAACTACTGCAACAGTGTTCAGCCATTCAAACTAAATAAGCAGGGTGTATAGCCAAGTTCGACATGAGCAAAAACGAGCAAACATTTAAAGCTAAATTGCCTAGCAACCTGCCTATCTTCTTTCCTTTTCTTTTCGTCTTGTTCTTCCCATTCTTCCTTTTTCGCTTGCCTGGTAAGACATTGAGTAGCATTTCAAATCAGGTGGAAGCTATGATATTTCGGTATAACTGTCTCTTCTACCACTTAAAATCCACTACCAAGATATTCGCGTCTATGCCATGCACAATTGCTAATAAAAACTAAATCAGTAACGGGCCGGTAGAGCGTTAAATAAGCAAATTTCTGCCCATTCATTTAAGGTACTGAGACGAGGCAACAAAATTAACGGTAAAACTTGGTTCATCCCTCTACTGTGTTGGTCTCACTGGCATTCAAAGCAAACATGCTAATTAATTCGTTTAGCTTACGATGACTTACTACACATAACTTTCTTTAGCAAATTAGGCGACTGAGCCAGCGACGTAGCAGCATCGACAATGCTACCGGTAGTGGCTGGTGTGGTGCCCGTCGTCGTCGTCATCTTTGTGACGGACTTTGCTGTCGCTTGACCGACACCGCGCGTCGGTTCACTTTCTGCCCTATTGAGTTTGCTCTCAGCAAACTTACCCTCCGCTTGGAGGCGCCGCTTCTTCGCTTGTTGTACGTCCACTGTCGGAACACCCGAATTCCTCTTGTTTGAAGTGGCTGAAATAAGAAATAGCTGTTTAAATTCAAATTCACTGTGTAACCCACATACACTAAAAAAAAGCGGTACAGTGTGATTTGATCCTACTTATTGCGAGACAAGTTAACGAATAAGGAGACAACCAGAGTCCCGAATGACGCAGTCAGCAGAATAATGCGTTAATTGCATATACGAGTGGATGGGTCAGCACCGATACTAAAGCTACTTCTAAATTTTCAGGCTTTAAAGCACCCTTAGAAACAACTTAAAGGCTAGGTAACTAGAGCCACGCTAGAACAAAGATCCTGATTTTGATGCCAAAGCTTTACAGAAGGGGCTTTCGATCGATGTATGGGACTGTGGAGACCCATAACAGCGAGGTCCCTACAACCGCACCGGTTTTTCAAAATTGTCCCAATCTCGCGCTTCATACAATGACTAGCAATCGGGCAGTGGCCTCTCGGATGCATTTCATAAACAGGAAACGTGAGATTTGTAAGGCATCCAGAATCACGAATGAAATAAAGACCATCAATTGCTTGATAGTTTTATCTGTCTTGAAGACGCTAACAAGTAATCACAATACTTGTGGCGACCGAAGAGGAAGTGACCACGAGGGGCACCGCAGACCGCACTAAAAATAGGGCAAAAAATACGCACCAGAACAATTATTTAATTCCATATGCCGCGGTACTAACCTCTCCGACTTCCGACGCTGCTAGTTTATCAGCCTTTCAACATAACAAGGCTACTTCCAGAGGAGCACGTGCTAAAACTTGGATGCTTCTACTAATATCAAAATAAGTAGATTAATGAGGGACCATTACCTCCTAAGAGGAAATATGATGAAGCGGACACTCACATTTAACCTCCTCTGGAGTTGCAGCTCTATACACCTTTTTCACGCTAGTGGATGCCACTGCTGAGTCACTATCACACGCAGTTGACAAGCTATGCGGCCGCTTGACTGACTGTCGACTGCGTTGCTGCTGTTGTTGCGTTTGTCTCGCGCGCTGTTTCTGTAAACGTCTCTGCCCTTGCTGTCTCCCCCCGCTATCTGAGACAGTTTCTATATCTTCAGAAAAGGCGGAAGAGGCAGGATCTATGAGGTTAAGCGTAGAACAAGAGGGTGAGCGTCTGACATAACTGATTGGTGAACTAAAAAGAAAGAGTAAAGGATAAGGAGTTTGCCTGGGTTCAAAACTAGTCAAAAAAGAAGCGAAACTTACATGATTCGCTCCCGATCGATAACCTCGTCGTGCCGCGCGTTCCATCCAGCATAGTGAATTCGGTAACGGAGCTGTCCTTGCATTGCTACTGGCATCGTCGAATCTTTTCTCTCTCCCTCAGCCATGGATACTGGTCGCATGGGGTCGTAGACGTGTTGAACGATCTTAGCTTTGTAGCAGTGTCCCTCATGACGCACGCGAACCATAGTACCCACCGGAATCGGCTACACTCAGAATAAATGAATGCAGATGGCAAAACAATATATACTTAAGTTGTATATTTAGCTATCCAGACACAGTCTTTACAAGTTTGATCTACACCCTCCCAGCACGGCATTCCCTTAATTGTAAAGTGGCCATAACGTTTCCAGAGACGACTCGGGGTGCTGCATTAGTAAGGGCGGTAAGTAAATTCAGCCCATATGAACACAAATTTTGATGTCGCTGAGTGGCCACGAAATCCAAATAGCACAGAAAGAAACAATCTACAATGGATGAGTAAGTCTATGGAGACCAACTACAGAGGGCTTAAAACTGTAAACGAATTCATCCCGGATTTAGTTCGCGCTGGAGGAGACGTGACATTTAGGAAACCAGGCTAGACCTACAGCACATCCTACTACCTCTATGTAGTGCAAATTCATCATATTACAGGAAGACTCGTTTTGTCTTAAGAATAAGAGTGACCAAGGAGAAAACGGGGTAATTTAGATTACGTGAACTATTTATCCGCAATACCTCAGCTACATGGCTTCTTAACTCCCTTGTATCGAAAATAATGGGTCGTTCTTTATAATAGTATACTTTAATGGGCCATTAGGGGGTAGCCAAAGACGCCGCATACCGATGGAAAAAGAACTAAACTTACAGATTGAGGGCTGCTGGGATCATCACTATTTAAGGGTTCATTTTCGAAAGTGGGAAGAACAGGACTACTGCTTGCGCTGCGTGGTTCATCGAAAAATTCTCCTCCACTCCCACCGCCAGTCGACCGTTGTCTTGAAGTGGTGGGTTTCCTCGAGGATACCAAAGAAGGCGGGAGCGGGGGTGGTGGTGGAAGTGATGGTTCAGGCGTAGCTGATTTCCGTGAAATGTGATTCTTAGAGGTGGTAGAGTCGAAGATGGAAGAGATGGTCTAGAGAAGAATAAAAAAAACGAAAAATACCGATGATGCTGCCTGGGATGTCTTTTTCTCCTTTCTCTGTGACGGTGCAGCGTCTGTGGAAGGTGAGGTCTTCTTTGAGGTCACGAAACTGGAGGAAGGTCTAGATATCGATGCTCCTGGTGTGGATGAAGTTGAAGGTCTTGTCTTGGAATCTGGGATCTGAAATGTAAACAAAAGAACGAACTTACAAAAATAGTAATTTAGCTTTGTAATATTATGCTTCTATTGGAAACGAAGAAGACGATGGTACTTGACCATACCATGAAAATACTTCTGTCCGGCAAACCAGCTGCTCTTACTATTTATTAATGAGTTTCCATTCCAACACGTAGATATGAAAAGTAAGTGGAGATTGCACCAAAGAGGAATAAAATCATTTGCTTTCGTTCGTTGAAATTTCAAGTGTATTTGTGTGCTACAAACACAATACACGGAGGGTCAGTATCAATAAGACGACTGAAAAATTCGTGAATGGCCCGTACTTATGTAATTAATATTGAGCTCTCCATTTATCCATTCACCAATTCATTACATTTTATGGTTCAGTAGAGCGCGTGCGGCAGGTAGATGATCGAGTAACTAACGAAGAGGAGAACAACTAGACCCAAGTTTTCCATGAAAATACAGTATTTGGGTTGGCAAGTGTAAACGGTCATACTTGGTACGCTTGCTACACATGTATTAAATTTTAATCAGGGAGAGGCGTCAAATATGTGACTTGCATTCTCTAGTATTTTATGGAAATTGCTCCCAAAAAACCTGTGTCAGAGGACATACCAAATAATACCAATCATCAGTTTTTGAACAGCAATTAAACCGGTAAGAAAAAGTTAATGACAGTCATTGCCATATAAAGTGACAAAACATCTGGATTGTGATGGTCAATGTGTCTTTGAGACCTTGGTAGCAGACGTACTAAAATAACATCCGATGTTCCTTTAAACACTCCAGAAAAATACTGCCTCTTAGTCAAATTTAAATGAAGCAAAAATGACGATCGTATGTATCGGTACCGAGATCTGATCCACATTTTGGAATTTCTAGAAATTCCAGTTTTCCATTCACCTCAAGGCCCTCGCAGCATAATTCACCTTTGAGAGTTTTTCATCCTTTGTTCCAGCGGCCCTACGTTGACCAGCCTCCTTCTTAGTCTCATCTGCTTTGCCCAGCGTTTTCACCGCCTGAGCGCTTGCAGATGCTGCCTTGGAAGCAGACTTCTGCCCCAAGTTCGAGGAATCCCCAGCAGTAGTAGGAGTGGCGGTCAACAATGCTGTTGCTTTCGATTTTCGCGGTAAAGGAATGGGAATCTCATCCAAACTGGTGCCAAGTTTACGCGATAGATCGTCGATAGGAAAGAGGTATCTAGCAGACAGGTAGACATGGATATTCTTAGGCGGCTTGATGACGCGGAAACAAAGGTAGGATTTGTGATGGGCAAAGAAGGTAATTAGGCATTGTTAAAAATTGCTCAAAGCGATTAAGAGACAGCCGAACAATTGACCAACCAATCTTGAGAAATATCACTCAGCTGTAATGGAGCGACGGATTTTTTTCCGGTCTTCTGGTATTCAGCTAGCAATCTCATCAAATCAGATCTGCTTTATAGCTAACAATGAGGCAAGACCATAAGTTGACGAGCTTGTTTGGTTAATAAACGGGCTCAACCCGGTTCTAAAGCTGCCGAATCAAATTATTTTGATAAATAATTTAATTCAGGTTATGTATCACTAGAAAGTGAGTCATGGTCGAGAAGATCCCCTCTTAATTATGAATAATTACGTACTGCTATTAGTTAAAAATAGTCCGTGAGTAACAAACCAACAATCCCAACTAATGTTTTAGGTGGATGTTCAAACGACTCATTTACACATCCATCAGCTGAAATTCGAATTGGTCATACACAAATGCACTAGCAGGTGACAAGTAGTAATCTTAAAAAACAATCAACTTTTACCTGCTTTCGCAAATATTATGAAAACGCATTGTTGTTAAAGGCTGGGTTATTGACTGACTTGTGATTAAACGTGATTTCCCTATTCTTGCGTTTATCATATCCATAAGTTTAAGGCTTCAGTCAGAAAGAAAGGGACTCATTTTCGCACACCCACCTTCCCATTTTTCAAGAGCCGAGCTTTACGAAATGTCTGCTGTGGACCAATGTTCGCACAAAGGAGCAATGAAACCGAAAGTTCACTCATGATGATAAAAAAACCACTACTTGACCCTTCTTTTTATCTCATGGGTGGTTGGAATACACAAGACTGCCTTGTGAAACTCTAAAAGAGTTTCATAGGCACAGGTGATACGAATCCCTAATAATATTTTCCGAGGCCTGATATGCCTTATTACGTTTTCAGGGATACAGTCCGATATTAAATAGCTGATTGTAAAACACAAGTCTATATGGCTTCGATTTTTAAAACAAATTCAGTACTTTTTGAAGGCCGTCTGAAGGCTTCTGGGTCCGGCGGCGAAATTATGCGGTAAGTCCATCTCCGAGTATACTGCGGCCCATTTCAACTGCGAAGTGACGCGATGGAAGCCACCTAAGCGATCAACTTTCTGAAATGAAGGGAAATAATTAGTAATTAATCAACATTTTATCGTTTAAATCCCACATACGACGCCCACCCTGTAAAGTTTAAACAAATCCAAATCCTTGTTAGCTATACTGGGTGCCTTGTTGATAGGGGTTCCACGCGCATCCATGAATCGATAGAGCTTCGCAATCCACCTGTCCCTTTCCTCAAAGTACTCTGGCGAGTCAGAACTTGTCGAAGCGTCGCTGTCATAACCTCCACCATCATCAGCTTCCACATTACTGCCAACGTTATCGTCAGCACCAGCACTGCTGCTGGCCGCAGAGCTTCTTGATATGGAGGACGTCTTTCTGCGACGCTGTTGACGACGTTTGATAGGTTTAGAAGGACGTGGTTTCCTCTTGAGGGGCGGGCTAGCGGCTTCACCTTCGCTGGATGAAGCAACAATGGAAACACATGATGAGTCGGAGGCGGAATACGAAGAGGAAGAAGAGGCGTCAGCTGAAGATGATGATGGTGATCGATGTCGACGTCGGCGACGCAACTTCTTCCGAACCACCGAGGCTGAATCATGACGAGGTTTCGGAAGTTCTGGGTTATCGTCATTGGAAATCGCTGAATGTCAGAAAAGTGGTTAGGAATGAAGACTTGGAGCAGCCACAACTCACGTTCCGATCGCCAGTTGGGTCCAAGAAGAGTATCCAAATCGGAGCCCCAAGAAGCGGGCAACTCTCGACGATCAAGCCAGAGAATCGCCCTCTCAAAGGCTGTTCGCAGGCCAGGATTTCGATGTGCCAATTTGACGGCTTTGGCTCGGGACAGAGGCTCCAGGTAGGACCTTGGAACAGCATAGCTGAAATGTAAAACAAAACCATCAGGCTCTCCGGCATTCCCAAACATCCGTTGTTGTCTGTTTACTTTACCCGGAAAACCGTGTTACAAACTGTTTAGAGATAATGAATCGTGATGGTATACCACTCCATATGAGAGTCAGTGACACAAGCCTACAATCGATTTTCGCGAAATGACTTCACGAGGAAAACAGTGTCCTTGGGGGCAGAGGAGACGGCTTTGAGGTCGATGGATGGCATGGCAGAGGGTAAAGTAACCAATCCGGGTGCATAGCGACGTCTTGAGGCTGTGGCCAATGCAGAAGTATCTCCAGTTGTGGTTGAGGAGAGGGAGGAGTCATCTGGAAGTGGTGGAAGTCAAGTTAATTTGTTCGGTAACTGGACATTTGTAGCTAGATAGGATCCAAAGGGCTAAGCAGCATTAAAATGAGAGCAGGGTGGTAAGAAACAACGGATGATAAGTAATAGCTCCATGAAGTTATGGCATTTATGAAATTTGCTGGTATCATAATACTATAACAATGCAAAGCCAGTGAAGTAAACTATCGAGGAAAGAACTGAATGCCTCCTCGTCTCGACAGGAAAAACAACGTATGATTTTCATTTCTATCGCATGGATAGTTTCCAAAGGACCAACTACGCCATAACCACCAAAACAGAAGAGCGGCTGTGAAGGGACAGTAAAAATTGGATGGATACTACGGCAGAATATCGCATAAAGGTGATATCCACCATAAATGACTGAGTCCGCAGAGACCTATGAGAAAATGGTTATCGAAACGATGACGACTTTTGTTAATAATCCTAACATTGAAAAAGCTCCAGATAAGCAAATTAACACCACTACAACTGAAAATATCTCGATAAAAGAAAAGATGACAAAACGTATTTCTAAGATGGCCCTTTTGGGTAAATGTTCCTATCCAAAGCATTAACCTACGAGATGTGTTTCAGCTACAGAAAACAGTATTGTCTGAGGTCATACCTTTCAACAGACAGTCTTACTGCCCTACCTCGTTTTATGATTTTATAGACACTAAAGTATAATGCGGAGTTTACATTAAATTAACATGGATTCGAAAGAATGATAGCTTCTTTAACACTAGGAAGTAATGACGGTTTCATAAGTTTTGGAGGTCTTCAAACCAAATGGTTTCCTTCGCACAGCTACAAATCACATATAGAGAACCGACGAGTAAATTTTTGAATTAAAGATAGCACGTAGAAATTAAAAAAAGAGAAATTTTAAACGTACTTTTTGAAACGATAGGCATATCAATCATTACAAGGGAGCCAAGGAGACGACGATAACTCCCATTCTCGTCATGTTCATCACTAGAAACAGCTGGAGCGGTGGTAGTGCCGGTGGTGTCATCCGCATCCACCTCTGCGGTAACACCGGAGGCAGTGATAGCAGCGGAAGTGCTCAATTTTCGTCGAGGTCCTCCACCAGATGATAGTTTTTTTGCCTTTCGTCCTGCTGCAGCCACCACTGCTTCCTCGCCTGCTAGAGAAGTAGTCTCTGCCAGAGTCGTGCATTCCTCCTCCTCCTCTTCCCTATCCTCGTCACCCTCTTCACCTACGACTGCTTTCAATGCATCTGTGCGTCGTGGACGAGTCTCTTCCCCATCTGCATCGTCATCATCTTCCAAGCTGGACCTTGGAAAGGTAAAAAAAGAGAACTGATAAGTTCTTCATAGGGAGAAAGTCGTTTAATAGCACAACGAAGAATTCCAGTTCTATTAGATGTTAAACGTATAAATTTTCATCCTTACATAAACTCTGATGTGAGTATAGTATAGGAAGTCAAATATTTGACTGAAGTCCTCTGGCTGGGGTTAGTAACTCAATTCTGAGCGGATGAAAAATCGACCTTAGAATTGGAGGACTAAGTCGGTGAGTTCGTAAAGCGAGTCAATAACAGAAGCGATCTTGAATGTACTTTCACAAAAACTAGCTCCATGCATCATTATACACACGTGGCAAAAAAATGTCTGTTCTTTGTGACCGTGGCCCCTACCTGCACTACTTTGTCCATAACAGAGTGCTTTGTAGGTTAAGATGCGGCAAGAAACATTGAGTTTGTTCAACAATAAATTAAGGCGAATCAAAAAACTTCCTAATCAGTTAAATAAATCAAATACGAGTGCCATTTTTTTGAGGCACAATACAAGCCACATGAAAAGGGAAATGGGAAAAGAGGACTTGGAAACAAATGCCAAAAAATGACCACGATCACTTCAGTTCCTCTGGCTCTCCTAGTCCGAATCCCATGAAGTAGGACACTTGGACCTGCGTTCGGAGGGTTACTAGCAACCTGAGTAAAAATACAAAGGACTGCTTCCGGCTATTAAGAAGTCTGTGACCGATATACACAAAGACTAAGGAGCAGATAACCGAACAATATTCCTCAACACGCTACTTGTCGAGCCGAGCAAATTTAAATGTCTCGAAATGTTATTTGAAGCGTCATACCAGCGTCCGGCCGATATCAAGGGCTGGTTGACATTCGGGATTAAAAAGGCAGCAACTTTGGCCATGTTTATGGGAAAGTGCGCGTTGGATTCTGTGCCAAGGCACCAAAGTTTAAGCAAAAATATTTTTCCCATAATCAACATTTACAATATCTATACCGATGAAAAAACCAGAAAATAAACATGGGCACAAAACAACGGGTAAGTGGTAATGATGCTTTTGACATTTGACCTGAGTTCCTAAATCTAAACCCCCTTGACCAATCTTCGAGAAGTCATGCAGAGGGTTACAACATGCACCACCAAAATGCCAAGGACAAAGTGATGGCTGATATTGTGCAAGAATCCACGAAACAAATTCTGCAACAGCGTAGCACAATTTCTTGTAAAGCACATTACTGCCCCAAAATTAGAGCAAACAGGGGCGGTGTTTGTTCACTAGTTTACGCACAACTTGCATTCGGGTGAATTAAATTAACAGACCTCAAAAGGTCTTAATCAAACAAAAATGTATTACGCCGCGAAGGCATCAAGAGATTCTGGACAAGAAGTTCATAACTAGAGAACTGCGAAACTGATGAAAATCATTACGAAAGAGCCAGTAAGACGTTAGTAGGGAATGTTAAGATCGGCCCAATTAGTGATGGATCCTCTGGAAGTACACCTAGGAAGCAGAATAAACATTCTAGAGATGCAAAAATGCGGTTTAAAAGTAAATAAATCTTTAGAAAACACAGCAAAGCAGTAAGCTGTTCTGCACGGGAAAATAAACCAGTATTTTATCAGATGGGAAATGGCGCTTCAAACTACAAATGTTTTGATAGGTGTAGAGTATACGGATCGCGTCCTTAAACGATTAAAAACGGCTTTATCGGCTGTTAAATGTAAGGCAACAATACCACTCACTGATACCGCCTGTTACGATCAATCACAGGCTGCTTGAACTGCTCAGGGTTCGTCAGGGGCAGACGATCAAGGCTTTCGCTTTCCTTGAAGTGACGCTCACCCTTCAGTACTAGTTGCGTTCGTTTTAGGCTGCGCTTGTCACCATCATCAAAAACTAGAAACCGGAGAAACAAGGATGGTTAGAGCCGATTTGTGTATCACGGACCCCCACCATCTTGTTGAGAAGCTAGCAACAAAGAAATAGAAAAAGGCCGCTGGGAAAGTGGACGGCTAAATTATTACCTAATAAACACTACGAATCTCGGCAACTTTGCATCGATAACTCGACACAGGAGGGAGTAGTCACAGGAAAAATCGAGACCGTTTGTGTTTCTACGGCTTGGTCTCAACGCTTGCACTATAGAGTTGTATGCTACTGGGCTCTCCAGCCTCTCAGCTAAATTGGCTGCAGCATCGGGGAATTTACCCCAAAAGACCAACAACAATCCCGATTTACATAACCAAATACCACATCAAAGCCCTATAAGAGGTTGAATCCTTGCATCTCCCAAAAAGAGGGCCGTTAAAACTGTGGAGACTCTTGGTAAAGGCCTTAAACTGTACAAGAGAGTGAGATCTGAATCAAACAGACCAAAACCCACCACTATCAGTGAATTATGCTTGCAAGTATTCACCACGTTGCCCTCGGAAATGCAGTTTGGATTAACCCGAGTTTGACACTACGGAAATCAGTGACAGGTTGATGAGTACGTGAATTTTAATCAGCTGTTGGTATTGAATTTATGACAAACACGAATTGTTCGGCATGATACTGGTGTTTCCCAGCCAATCATGAGTAGAGGCAAGTAACGAGATTTACCATTTGCGCTAATGGGGCAAGGTTCCGATAATGCTTAATGTAACCAATATTTCAGATTAAAAACCCACCTTGAGACTGATAGCCCTCATAACGTCTCTGAGAGTAATTAGGTTACATAAATAGGTAAAATTCGACAGAACCTACCGACTGTGTAGAGACTGAGATCAGTAATCCGGACAATCGAGGCAGTCTGTGGACTGGTGGAAGCGTACTCTCCACCCTTGATAAGCACAGACACCTCTGCATTGGGCTCGATGTTGCCGGATAGAATGCTGTTTTTGTCTAGAGTGACGCAGACCTGAAGTACGGGGGGGAGGAAGGGTTTGATTAATGAATGTTCGAACTATTTGCTCAAGATTCAGAATTTTCACAGTTCTCCTTCCTCGATAGCGACATAGAGCTCCGTTAAGCATATCGAGAATATTACTCTTACCTCTCTACCCGTTGAAAATGAACCTTCAGAGATGACTTGAGCGTTACAATGGTGGCAGCAGAATTTGAGCCCACTATCAAAGGACAATAATAGTCCAAATTCCCCTAACTGAATACTTTAATCAACAGAGAGCAAAACCATCTGATGTGGATGGCTAAATCTACGGAGACACAAAACAGAAAAGCTATCGAAATTATGACTTTTGATATTCGCTCTACCTCAGAGTGGGGCCTTGTAATAGGTGAAAGGAAAACAATATAGTAGACTGATACCTGAGTACCTTAGACTTTTCATTTTCAGACGACTGGACCTCCTCGCTAGAAATGCCAAGCACAACTCAATGTGTCATACTAAAGTACGTCGAGATTCAGAAGTGACTCGGAAGCGATGGTAAACAGACAAAGTATAAGAGAATAATCTTCACCTTCTTATCCTTTAATTGAACTCGAATACGATAGTTAAGGGTCACCCGTTCAATCAACGCTTCGCAAAAGGCGCCGCGATATTTTGCACTAACAGCGGCTCCAACTGGAAGAAATACGGGCGCAGACTTGGGTTCATGGCCACCGCCACCTTCAGAAGTGCTCATGACAGATGATGTTGGTGTTTCGGATCCAACTCGTGACGCCATTACAGAATCGGGGGCACTCGGAAGGGACATCAAATAACGTGTCACCTAGGAAAGAAACGAAAAAGAAAGATAGAAGTTTATGGATTCAGGTAAAGAGAAACGAATTATGCGTGTTACGGTGAGTGAAGCAACACTATCACGCCGTTAGAAGAGGAGAATACCTTTCTAAATCGGTACTTTGATTGTAACATGATGCGAACATGCGAAATGAACGCTTTCCAGTCTGCAATCGATGGAGATTGATACAAAGAACTCAAGGAAACAAAAAACTCACAAAGTGTATTGGGCTGAAAATCCATTCAGAAACAACTCCACCAAAACCATACCTCAAAAAAGACCATATCGAAAGGACAAATCAAAGACCATAGGCAGATAAAAAGAGCACTAATTCACCCTAATCCACAAGAAGGAATATCACCATAAAATATGCAGGCATAAATGACAAAGCTACACCACAAAAACAGCCACCCACCCGAGCAGAATATTGGCAGGCACAAAATGACACTGACCTTTGATATCAGAACGTGATCAGAGCTTTTGGTAGCAAGCCATAAAAGTTAAAAATAAAAACCGTGCTACTTTTCGACAAAAGTTAAAAAAAATACACACTTATCAAACTCTATTTAGGTGATTTAGTTGACGATGCTGCTGACCGGAGCCCTGTTATCGTGCTCGGACTACGGATAGCAGCGTCTGGCGCTTCGTTTAATTTTCCGCGCGGCTAATGGCAGATAAGCCGACGGTACGTGGAGTGATCCGCTGAGCCCATCCTTCCCTTGCGTTTGCGCTATTCTTTATGGGTAGCGCTAGGTGTTTTAGTTCAAAGAATATAAGTTACTAACTTCGCTAAGCCAAACTTCTATTTGATGTTCTCCAAGGATGTTTGGAGTTCCCTTTTTTGCCGATTTAGTGTTTTGGATGTATATCATTAAGTCGCTTTGTCTGTCTAAATCGAGAGTGCATCCGGAGTTACCAATAATTTCTATGGAACTGCGCATTTTTCATGCTATTCCACAAAATTTGTAAGAGATCATACTTTACCCCTTAATAGCTGTGTCCACTTTTTTGGCCTTTTCGCAAGAACTTTGAGTCGGTTCTGTATAAATGATTGTTTTGTATATCAAACTACAATTGTTGTTTTGGTTGTGGCGAATGATCTTGATGTTGTTTCCTGTGGAGTTCTTTTCGCATCATACGACTCTCATGTAGTTGTTATTAGGCCTAATTCTTAATAACTCTGTAGTACTGATGCAGATGAGTCGAAGAAAGTAGGGATCCGGGAGTTAGTTGCATTGCAACCGCTGTGTAACTCGTAGATTGATTGTTCGCCCAAAATTATGATACATTGAAACCAAACAACCCGGAAGCTCTCGGCAGCTACACCTCTGCATTTCCTGCCACAATCGTAATGCAACAATTTAAGAGTTGAAATTACCATCTGTGCCAATATGTCTGGCGAAACCCAACCCTTTGTTCATAGATAGGTGGAGACTCACCTAGTCGGGTGAGGTGCTAGATCCCGAGAACATTTATGCTCCAACACTTTAAGGCGAACTGTTTTACCAGCGGCAAAAATCATATGGTGCATTCGATGTCAATGATTTCAGCAGTGCCTATGAAGTCGTTGGGTATCATCAGGTCATCCTCTGAGTTGAATTATTTTTTTCGGGCATCCCCCTAACTTCACCTTTAAGAAGCTAGGACGCACACGAGCAATGCTATAGCAACTAGCTGTCTTATTTTAGACGTTACTATGCGCCTTCATTTGATGTACTTTCGCATCAGCCATCACGACGGTCATATGGTTAATCCTGATCACATGTGAGACAAGAACGGATTTGATGATTTTCGATCAATGTACTGCCCGTTTGCCTTTTCTCCTATCATAGATTCCATTAGACTTTTCCACTAAGAAAAAGAAGAAGCTTAGGAATTTCCTTCCCCCCGAACCGCCCCGACCCGAGGTGGCACCTGCGGCTGCAAAGTCCGTTGAGAACGTCGAAACCACGAAGGAGGCACCCAAGGCCAAACTTGGTGATGCTGCCGCTGCCTCTACTGGTACACAGCCGGCAAAAAAGAAACCTGCAGCTGTTGGTTCAATCACTGAGCAACTGGATGAGCTCGCATTCGGCGAAAAGAAGAAGAAAAAGAAGGGCGCTCTTCGACCCCTCAATGATTCTGATCTCCAGCCTTCCATGCCGACCGCCCAAGGCCTCTCCACCACCACCGTTGTTGCGTCCGCCCAAGGCGGTATGGAAACGGAGGCACCAGCAAAGACTGCTACCGAAGGTGCAGCCCAATCCGGCACTACCGGTTATCCCTACGATATGCTACTGGCAAGAGTATTTGCTCAAATTCAGGCACACAATCCAGAGCTCATGTCTGACACGAAACGCCGGTTGGTGATGGCACCACCTTGCATGGCTCGAGTGGGCACTAAGAAGACCCACTTTACCAACTTTAATGGCATCTGTCGCTCGCTTAATCGCGACCCGGCGCACCTCTCCGCGTACCTGTTTGCAGAGCTGGGTACCACGGGTTCGGTGGATGCTAACGGAGCGCTATTGATTAGAGGAAAGTACCAGGCCAAGCATATTGAACCGGTGCTGCGGAATTATGCCCGTAAGTTTGCGGAGTGCTCTTGCTAATGAGCTGATTATAAGGAGGACTGTCCCCTCAAAGTTCATGACATTTTAAAACGCTTTAGAAGTCGGATACTGTTGAGCAACGTAACGTGCGTTTTTGTCATTACTGCTAGCCCAGATTGAGTTTCCATTTAAAATTAAGCTGCCTTGATGCCTACAGTATTGAGTAGAAACAACGAGGCCACGTTCATAACATATCGCTTGTTAACTTTAGGTGTTCGAAGGGGATCGCGTGGCTTCTGTTATGCCTCACTGCAATAACTTGTAGGTACATGCAAGGGAACGCATTATAGAGCATAGATATGTGTCTGTCTGTCATCGGTACGTTGGCTATTGTGAATTCTCACAGCATCAAGCGACGGTTGAAAATGGTGCTTGTCCGCTTGAAGAACCGAGTTTGATGCAGTAGCAACAGAGCCGCTGAAGCTTCTTGTAATATTTTACGCCTTGACGGGACTTTCCGTCAGGGGAAGGTTTGAATGAATCATTTCATTTCGATAAATACGTCGCATTGAGTTTAACTCTTCATTCTTGATCGCAATGAGAAATTGTGTATCGCTAATGATACTAATCCGAATTTGACGTGTTGAGAGTATCTTTGCGTGAGACTCAATTCGGGTGATGCAACAAGTTGTCTGCATCGACACCGAAATTTGGGGAGGGAAAGTCGCGGATACTAAGGAAACGGGGTTCGCTCACATGCTTTAACAGTAGGCTATAGTACGAATCGTATGCTATCAATATGTTCCCTACTTTTTTTTCGCGTCTTATAAAAACATCGTGCATTTCAAGTTGTTCGATGTCTGACTGATGATGAGTAATAATTCTTGTATTCCAGTATTAAGCGAACAACCGTATGACCAGCACTTCTGTCACTAACTAATTCATTCTAGTAAGACTCTTTGCTTTGTGTGATGCGCTATAGAGGCTAATCTTTACCCTGAATTCTTTACTGACTGAGAGCAGAACAAAAGTACGCCTGAGGCCTTATTTACTTGATACAACTCGAACGTGTGTACTTAGGGAAACTTACTATCTGGGAACAGCCAAGAATAGCATCAGTCAGGAGGAAGTCTCAAACCTGCAGAACAACGGGGCTTTCTGATTTGCACGCGAATTTAAGGCTAAATGATTGGAGAACAAAATAAAGGTAGAAAGCAAGGGAATTAGGATAGAGTTTTGATTTTAATTCCGAAATCTTGTATACAGCAGATTTCTCAAGCTCCTATCTCGTTGAGAAAAGATGGTATTTTGCGAGCTTTGGTTAGTTTTATGGGAAAAGATCGGTATACCACCCATTTTCTTGAATGTAACAGGTTTTGTAAACTTGCTCGTATCACGATGCGTGGTGGTTTGAGTAATTGTTGACAAAGGGAAAAGTTGTATCCTCAAGGATCCGCCTAGAATATTACTAAATACAATGGTTGTCAGATAACTGGGCACGCTACTTAATGTCTTGTGAGTAGCTTTAGTTGTGAACACCTACCGGTTAAATGGTTTTTGGAAATTTCCCCGGATCTGCTGATCTGCTTGTAGGGTAACTATATCTATCAGAGTATGTGATCTGTTTCTAGGCTAATACATTTGGCTTGGACAAATTTGACTCCATTCAGGCCTTGACGCCCGAAAATGATATTTGACGCTTGGGAAACTTTCGCCCAGACTATTTTAAATGGAAAGTATAGGATGTTCGTTGATAGAGTGGACTTTGCTAGCACAGTTATTGTTATCTCCATAGGTACCTACGTGCTATGCAGCACCTGTCAATCACCCGACACTGAATTATCCAGAGATTCGCGACTCCTCTTCCTCCAATGCAAAACGTGTCGATCGCGAGTGACGGTGAAGAGTGTCACTTCGGGTTTCCAAGCCGTCACAGGAAAACGCGCTGCTATTCGTGCAAAGACACAGTAGTCATCACCTATGTTCTTTTTTGCGCTGAAATTTTGCTGGTACTGTGAAAAAACGTCCAAATTATGTCCTCATTTCCTTCTCGTCTTCTTCAGGGGATGATTCGAGCGCCAAATTTTAGTGCCATTTACCGGCTTTTTGCACCTAGCTGTTTCTCTTTTCATGGAGTAGTTATTTATGATTTCACAGATGAAGAGGTGTGTAAGTAACTCAGTGGAGCCTCAGCTATTAATCTGGCCAATCGGTCGAGCGGTTCTTACGGCGTTTTATTGTAAAGCGTGAGTTGAGTCGGATTCAATGGAGCTGTATGACGATGAGCCGGCTCAGTTGTTAATCAGGATGAAATTAGAAAAAAGGGTTTAACAGTGTTTTGAAAGTGACAAGGGAGTGAAAACGAGTATGTTGCAGACAGAGACGTTCGCCTACGGTTGGTCGGTGGTTGAGAAGTCTTGTGGTTTGTCTTTTACAAAATTGATCATCTGTCTACCTGGGTCTCCTCTACACAATGTTACGACTACCGGGCCAATGGATTGGTGGCAACGGTAAGCAAGCTCCATCTAGGCGAAGTACAATCCTTATTTTGTAGAGTGGTCGACATATCCAATCGTTACTGAATGGACATGCCTGTCTTGAACGCCCAAGGGAACTATCCCACGTGATCCGGAAAAGGCTGCTTAGAACTGAAGCGACTCTAGCCTTAAATAACTTAAAATTTCGTCCACTGTATCTGCGCCTGTGGTAAATGCACGAAGATATGCGAATTGTGCGAGTATGCGAGACCTCCTTCACGTGTCCAGTGGCAGAAGGGCACCAGAACAAACAGCTGAAAAGGAGAGCATGAAGAAGGAAGTGACCAGGAGGAATTGCCGCTTATTAAGTGATTCTTCCTTTGATTAGAGCGCGCAACGCACTTGGTTGTGGATCATCGTCAAAGCAGGTGGATTGCAAAGTCGATAAATGCCTCCTTTCCAATACATTTTACCAAGAAATCCAAAATGCAAACAAAGTGGAACCAGGTAGATGTATCATTGACTTTTGGATCTAATGGTTTCATGCTTTCATGACAGTTCACTGACCATCCTTCCCCACCGCAGCAGAAGCTAAGAGGACATCCATTAACTGATGGAGACAATCATACAGTGATCTAATATGCCTTTATGATCACCCATTAATTTGTGATTTGTGCTTTCATGTCGGTGACATGGCCGCAAGGCCATACCTGACCCGCGATCCAGTGTTCTTTCTATACGCTTAAATGGCAGACGATTTTATGGTGAGTCAAAGCATCTACTCGATTTGTTTATGGTTGAAATGCCTTGAGCCGTTTTGGAGTTTAGTGATATCGTTTTTACCACCGTAAAATCTTCAAGTGACATTCAGTTTTGTGTTTAACAAACTGGAATTTCGGTGTTCCTTGATTGTACACCCGCTTTGCGACGTGACCTAGGGGTCATGCCGGCGGCCTCCCAGCCCTTCCTTACGCTATTAAGGCCTCAAGGAGTAGCATTTCCACTCACGGAACTTTCGAACAAATCTTGCACCTCAGAATTTATTCTGGTTGCATTTGGCACAAAATAATCCTCAGATTTTACTGCTTTCCGCTGGAAATAATTGGGGAAATTTTGATACTTTACAGAACGGGAGATTTTAAAACCAGCTTGGTGGGATTTTGGAACAACTTTAGTCATCCCAGTCTCAAACAACACCAAGTTTCCACTTTTTCTTTGACAAAGTAATGGATTTATTATTACCGCCTCAGGCAGAAATAAAAATGCTTTTCCTTCAATTGACATACTTAGGTTTGCCAGGAATGTTTGAGGAAAGTTGCTGATCTTTACGAGTCACGAGCCCATCGATAACATGGAATGTAGCAGCACGCGCTAGTGTTACTTGTCAAAGCCAGTAGGGCAATACACGTCACGTCGTTCGTCCAGTTTCAAGTTGGCGTTTTCCACACTTTAAATATTTCCTTGATTTCTTAATGCTTTTATAGCTTGTTTAACTTAGCGCTTTGGCTATGGAAGTGCTCAAGTCTCCAACATAGTACTCCCGCTCGCCAACATGACCTCTGGGCCATGCCGATGGACCTCAGCTCTTCTGTACGTCAGTACTATTTCTCCTTCCATACTACCACTCCTGCATTGGACGCCTTTAAGGGAGACTCAAGCGTTGTTTTGGCCGCAGCAGCGAGCAAACCCGATCCCGAGGCTCAATGCCCCTGATTTCCGGTGAATTGCAAAATCTGTGAGGACTCCTAACTGAAGGATTGAAAGTCGCGCCTACCTTCAACCGTGAGCCATCTGAAAATTTGCGTTATGGAGCTGCCTGCAATAGCTGCATGACGATGTCACCTAAGTGAACACGCAATATTTTCTCCACCTTTCTACTAATTGAATAGCACCCAGATACATGGGTGGACAGCACCGAGGTGAGAGGAAACTGGCACAAGGGGAGAGATGCGAAACTCTAACCCCCACGAAATTGTTTTACACCCCGTCCTTCGCTAAATGGATCTGCTTATTGGCCCCTGTTCGTACGACTGGCGATGCGCATGCAAGATGGTGAGCACTTTGCCCTTCCCCCAGTACACTTCCCCAACATGATGAAACTCCAGATGCAGTGAAATCGCCAACAGAGTTCAATGACAATGTGAAAAAATATCTTCTCGGTAGCAAGCCACTGCACTTCCACTGGGCGGTATGACCTCTGGGCCATACCAGTAGCCCCGCAGCACTTTCAAACGGTGGTAGTGCGTTTTCCGCCCTACTATTATGACTGCTTCCGACTTTAGCGAGGACTCCAAGTGCTACACTTACCTTGATTTTCAAAAAAAATGTTTCGAAAGGCAAGTTTTTACTTGTTGATAATTTGTTGACTTTGTTACTACACTGGAAACAAGAATCTCTCCAATTTTCCGTAAGTCTAGTTTGATTTGATCAAACATAAATTATATTATAATTATTCTACTGCAGGGAAACCTGACACACCTATGCGAATACACTATTAGAGCGAAAGTTCCAAAATATCACCGTGTATTCTATTGCAATACATGCTAGTTTGAAATGGCTTTGTGACTGACAAGCTGAAGACGGGCAGATGGGACGAACCCAATGACTGGGCAGACGTCATCGTTGCTCAAGATGAAAGCAAACAGTGGTTCCCCACACAAATTCAATTCATTGACATCCTCTAGAGCATGAAGGTGAAGGTGGTAGAACAAACGGTAAATTAATTTATTTCTTTGAAGGGAGGCATCTTTTACCCAATGATGTTGGGAGAGTTCATCCTACTAAGTAAGAAGTTTGATCCAATATGCCCTCTTGCCGCCTCCAAAAGCTGTATTCACACAATCATGTAATACCCCAGGGGATATTTGTATTGATTAAAAATTTTAATTAGTCCGATAAGAAACGCTCCTTTCGAGCATATCATTTACATCCGGGCTGCCTGTGCATTATGCAGTCCATCTTCCAAGGCGGGCGTCACTACAACCCCAGAAGTTACATGTGCTTATTGACCTATGGCTGATCTATTGCTAAATACCAGACAACACTTTTCTTTGAGGTCCGCCTATTGGAGCTTGTATACAATTAGGAAAACTTCTTTCTGAG